AATAATATTACTGAGCTAGAATGACGACGCAAACATAAATTTATCGTCATTCGAGTGACGATGTGAGCGTAAATTTAACGTCATTTATCTATTTTGATATGAATTTGGGTAAATAAAAGTGTTCTAGATATAAATCATTGATTTGACGACACAAAAGCAAATTTATATGCAAGATCGTTATCGGTAACAAAAATTGTGCCAGAACTCCCATTTTGCCTCTACTCTATTCCAAGTAAAGTGTTTTGGAACATCACTATATCTTAAATTTTTAAAGAATTTATTATCAGGATTATTAGCACAAAGTTCAAAATATCTTGTTAACTTTGTATACTTTTCTTTTTCAAGAGCTGATAATATTGATTGTGATGGTTGAAAAGTAACAGATTGCTTTTCAGACAAATGAGCAGGAAGCCTTTCAACCATATGTGACCTTTTATATAAACCAAAATTAAATAATCTTCAAATTTCTTTGAAAGCAGAAACATATCTTGCATTTAAATAATTTCTAATTTCATTATTTGGATATGATAATTTTTTACTATAGATATTAAAACCCTATCATGTCTCTTATAAACATATTTGTAGAGATATTTAACTAATCTAACACTTGAATATATCTACATTAAGATAATAATTATATTTTTGACTTAAGTATAGATTATAAGGAACAATCTATCTATTATCAATAGGAATTTTTATTCCTTTTTTGTTAATTTTTCTTGAATTTTCTCTTCTTCTATATACAGGATATCCGGTTTTATTTGTTGTTGTTTCTGCAGTAAGATCTCTTGGAAAATATTTACTGCATTTTCCATTAATCATGCATGGAGAATCTGTATTAACTTTTTCACAGGGTCTATGAACCATGCAATTGCTAATTATATTATATAATTTTGGTTGTGTATCTGGATCTAGTATCTCAGCAGATATAATTCTATTATAATTTTTGGGAGTTTGTAGTTTATTTTTAAATGCCAATATAAGTAATATATAAGCATGTGACAACTCTCTTTTTTGAAACTCAACTATATATATATATACAATAACTTTTTCTAATACACCGTTTATAACTAAATCATTAATTATTGCATCTAATTTTAATTTGAAAACTCTTGTTTCCAAATCTGGCCTATTGGCAGATTTTTATTTTGGTAAAAGTTCAGATATAATTTTAGACCATTTTGGATTACATGTTACTGTTATAAACAGATCAGGTTTTCCAAATTCTCTAACAATTGCCATAGAATCTTGATACAATTGTTGTAAATATCTTGTAAACCTAGTAAAGCTTGATGACAAAATAATCTTTTTGCCAACTTCATCAAGATTGCTATTTTTATTAAAAATTATATCTTGCAATCCTTGATAGATTGCTGATCTTAAATCTTTTTGATTTTTGTAATGCCAACTTAAATTATTTGTTTCCCACTTTACATACTGGTCTACTATATATTGTTGAAACAATCTACCTAAAAGATGCAGAATGCTATTATTTTTGTTGTAGTTTTTAACTATAAACCTATAAGCTGCAAACTTTCTAATAGTTACAGTTTTTTTTTTTCTTTTTTGGTTTTGGTTAAATTATTGATAGTCCCTCTATATCGCTATCATCACCATCATCATCATCACCATCATCACTATCATTATCTTTATCACTATCATCATCTTTATTAGATAGTCTTTCTGATTCAGAAATTCTATCTTTATCAAATTCAACTTTTTTTGCTTTTAGATATCAATTTTTTTTTTATTACAGAATCATAAGATTATTATCATCTTCTGCTTGAGCTTGAACTTCTTTTGTTTCTTCTCTAGCTCTTTTTTTCCTTTCTTTATAGAAGATTTACTTTCCAAATATTCTTTATCACCTGTATCAATATTTTCATTATCAAGACTCATCATACTTAATAAACTTCTAATAGTTTCAGATTCCAAAATACTTGTTAATCCTGTTTCACTTTGTGATTTTCTTTCTAATAAAGTATCAAAGTCAATATTAGAGATATCACTTGCTCCAGCTTCAGCTTCAAAGGTTTTAGAGGCTTTAGAGTGTTGAGCCATCTTTTTTTAAAAGCTCTTTTTTTTTTTTTTTTCTTCTATTTCTTTTGCATAGGCCTTCTTTTTGTTTAGTCCAATACAAATGATCTGGTTCATTATAATCATCATCATTAGCATTATCATCATTATTATCTGACTCAATTTCATCCCTTTTTAATATTTCTTTATGCCAACTATATTCTCTATGTAGAAATAGCAAGAATATGCTAAAGGATCATATGCACCATGTAATTAAGATATTCTTTCTAATTCATCATTATGTCTTACAATAAAAATATCTCTTACATGCATATTTTTATTAAAAAAACAAATTGCTGCTATTTTCTTAGCCAATGGTATATTATATTGTTTTATATCTTTGCCATACTTATTATGTATTAAAATATAATATATAGAGTCTTGTAGATTCTTATTTCCTGCAAATATATAAGTGTCTACAAAAGGATTTAAATCTATTAATACATTTTGGATATTTTCTATAATATCCCTGTTTAATTCTTGCTTTATTACATCATGTCTTCTATCAATTTGTGCTTCAATATTGTTAGAATCATGAAAATATATTTGGGAAAATTTTGGTATTTCTCCTTGTTCTGGCAAAGCTAAGCTAATTTGATGATAATGAGCACCCTGAATTCTATAGCAATAGGCCCCTTTTTTTCATTGGCAAATTCCAAATCTTAATCAGTAGCAATTGATGTAAAAGCAAATGCTTGATTATATGCTTTTATTTTGTTAAGAAATGGTACTTTAGATATTGGATCTTTTTCTGTAAGCAAATAATAAATTTCTGGTGGTGGTACTTGAAGTTGTGCTAATATAACTTCACCATTCATGCAACAAAGTCCTGGTTTTTCCTCCTCCCATCTTAATGCCCCACAATGTTCATATTCAATGTCTATTTTTCCCACACTATGCCCCCATTGTTTTTTTTATTATCCCTATCATTATTATTATTATCATCATCTTCTTCACTATCATTCCACTATCATTTCTATCATCATCTCCATCATCATCTCTATCATTATCTCCATCATTATCTCTATCATCATCCCCACTATTATCTTCGACTTTCTCCTAATATTCATTTAAACTACAATGTCCTATTTTATAAAATTGTTCAAATTGTTCTTGTTTTTTCTTTTAATATAATTTTTTTCTTCTGTCTCTATTTTTTTTTACTTTTTCTTTTTTTGCTTTACTCAAAGAAGCTTTATATTTTTGTTGTCTTTCTCTTTGACCTTCTTTTGTTTTTGATCTTGTTTCTGATAATATTCTAGTTTTAGACCTTGTTTTTGTTAAAAGTCCTGTATCTCCTTCTTCTAATCTTTGGTAATATTTAAATTTAGCTTGTCTTTTATTTCTTAATCTATTTTTTTTATCTGTTTTGGATTCTTTTTCAGGGTTTACAGGTGCTGCATATGTTTCTAAAATATAATCAGAAGTAGGTCCTCTTTGTTTTGTCTCTTTCATTTCTTTTTTTTCTTTCATTTCTTTTGGCATTTTCTAGCTCAATAAAAAAAAAATTATAATAAAATTATTAATTATTTGTATAATTTATAAGAATTAATGTAGTTATACCCGTAGGGTACATTAAATTTTTTTGTACCCATTATTTTTATTATATAATATTATATAAAAAATCGGTAATACCAGTATTATTTAGATTAGAGTTAGTGTAATAACTATGTTAAGGTTAGGATTTAGAATATTATATAGTAAAATCACTCAAGAAAAACTTTTTATTAATATACAAAAGGTGGTTTAGTATACAATTTCTTGCATAATGAGAGATTTTTGTCAAAATGAATGTTTGTTTTGAATTTTTCTGATTGTGTAATATTACACCTAATCTTGAATTTTAGTGGCGATCTATAAATCATATGATACAGGTACATATACCTTTAAGTACATATATATAATCCCAATTTATAAATAAAACAAAATATTTATTAAATAGAATATTGCTAACTTGCCCCCCTGGTGATTTAACTACACACAATTTACCAATCATGTCGCAGGATCTTGTGTAACAAAATAAAGAAATTTTTTAAAAAAAATTAGAAAAAATTAAAAAATTAACAATATTGCAAAATTTTATTACAAAAACTAGTTATAAACTATTAAGTAAAAGTTTTCAGCACCTAATTTTGAATATAAATAAGTTATATGGGATCTTTGCTAGGAAAATCACTCTTCAGGATTTTCTGATCAGGCTAATTCAAAAAATTTTAGACCAAAATATCTTTTTACTTTACTGATTTGATGGTTTATTTAATAAACTATCAAATAAATACAACAAAAGGTGATTTACATATGAATAAGAACTGACATTCTGGTCTAAACCTTTCTGAATTAGCCTGATCAGAAAATCCCAAAGGGTGATTTTCCTAGCAAAGATCTCATATATCAACTTAATATAGCCAGTATTCTAACTTTAATCTTTAAAGAATATTTATTTATATAAAAAAATTTTATAAAAATAAAGGGTGGTTAAATTTTATAATTTTAACTAGGAGTTGAAATAAGTTAAATTCTATTAAATAAATAATATAAATTTTTAAAATTTACCCAAAAGGATTAGATAATGACAATACTTTAATGTTTAACCAGAGTACTTCTAGTCCTTGCAGAACCGTGAGAGCTGGGTATACGGCGAGCAATTCAGTAGAAGACCTACTCAAAATTCATATTAATATAACTCCTACTTTTTATGATCCACTTATTTGTTACAACCGATTCCTTATATTTCAAAACTATCCTCTCATCGAAAGCCCACAAACTCTAAACTCTTTCATCTTACACTTACTCACTATTGGTCTATGGAACAAACTTTATGAAAAGATTGTTATAT